ATATATATATATATATATATATATATATATATATATATATATATATATAATGAAAATGATTTAAAAATTGGGATTTTAAAATGTGATTGAAGCATGAGATGGCCGCATGTGGGGAGTTTGATTCCCATAGTGGACGTGATTCAATGCACGTTTGGCAACTAAAGAAGTAATAATAACATTGCAAGGGCTTCATTAAAATAAACTAAAGGATCTGAATTCTTGATCATCTTTAATCTTAAACTCACTTATTAATTGTGCTTGATATAGGGATTGATCAAGTACATGTTGGTATATCTCATCTTAATGTGTATCTAAGGATATAGATCTCTTATTACACTTCTCATCTTAACTCTTATTCTCACCGAAACCTAACTCATGTATCACACTTACATATAATTTTGTAGACTTGGGATCACATGAGACCAATGGTTTTTTGTGAGAACCGTAAGAGTAATTCTCAACCCTTGGATTAGATCTACAATCTGAACATTCATAATCACAAAATTACCATGAGACCTTTCAATAATCACAAAATTACCACCATGCAACTTTAGATCATTAGATCATTAGCTTATAAAGTTGATTAATGAACATAAATTGATCTTATGGGTAAAAAACCCTTGATCTTACGTGAACCCAACCCTAAATTTGTAAATTCCTTCTTAAATGATAGCATCACACAAATTTGCCACTCAATCATCACCATCATCAAAATTTTATATATAAACATATAAAACTAATGACCAAATGGTGATGATTTTAAGATTTTTTTTTAATCTGCATTATCTTTACCTATTCTAGTGCTGATTTGAGATCATGTGAGATCAGTCTGTCTTTGTATAACTTGTGTGACCACTTTTTTACACTTAAAACTTCATAGTAAAACGCTGTGAAGGTAACATTCATAGAGTTTTTGGTGTGAAGGTTCGACTTTTCTTTACCTTCACAGCGTTTTACTGTGATGTTTCAAGTGTAAAAAAGTGGTCTCACAGGCCTCATGAAGACAGATTGGTCTCATTTGAACCCTACCCTTCTAGTGCCTGATAGATGATTTTTACTGAGAGAATGAACCTTTAAGGTCCGTAAAAATCGTGATTTGATCATGGAAAAAAGTCAACGTTGTTTGATCCAGAGAAAAAGTTAATTATGTCGATTTGATGAATAAAATACATTTCA